TGGTAGCGCGGGCTGAGCGCTTTGCTCATAAAGGCTATCGGGTGCCCTTGTTGCTACAGAATGTCCCCTATGCCACGATCACTAGCATCCGTCTCGATGATGAAACGTTGTTGAAAATCGGGCAACGCTAGAACAGGTGTTGAGATCAACTGCTGTTTGAGGACCTGAAAAGCTGTCTCAGTTGCGTCTGTCCAGACGAACGGAACCCCTTTCTTGAGTAGGTTGAACATTGGTCTTGCAATGACTCCAAAATTTCTCACAAACCGCTGATAATACCCGGCAAGGCCCAGGAAACTACGCACCTCTTTGGTGCAGGTTGGTGCTGTCCAATTTTCCACTGTTGTGATCTTGGTCGGGTCAGTTGAAACCCCCTGTGAACTGATGACATGCCCAAGGTATGAAATTTGCTGCTGTCCGAAAACACATTTGCTCATCTTAGCCTTCCAACTGTCCTTCCGCAGAAGCCCCAAAACCTGACGCAAATGAATCACATGATCTTCGAGAGAGATGCTGAAAACTAAGATGTCGTCGAAGAAGGACACGACGCAGACACGGTTGACAGGTTTCAGTGTAGTGGTGACTGCCCTGATGAAGGTTGCTGGTGCACCAGCAAGGCCGAACGAAACCACTTTGAATTCGAAGTGACCTTGGCGTGTTTGGAAAGCTGTTTTGTACTCCTCCCCTGGAGCCAACCAAATTTGGTGATAGCCTGCTCGAAGGTCTAGCTTGGAGAACCAGGCTACCCCATGGAGTTCATCCAGAAGTTCTTCGATGACCGGAACTGGAAACTTGGCAATGACAGTGAGAGCATTGAGGTGACGATAGTCAATGCACAGGCGCCAGGTTCCATCCTTTTTCTTGACCAAAATGACTGGTGATGCAAAGGGGCTCGTGCTTCTCTGAATGACCCCTGATCTGAGCAACTCTTCCACCTGAGCTTCTATCTCTGTATTATGTTCGGGCTTGTGACAGTATGGCCTGATATTTACTGGCTGTGATCCTGGTATTAGCGGGATTCTGTGGCCACAAGATTGGCGTGGAGGGAGGCCGGTTGGTTCCTCAAAGACGTCTGCAAATTCATTCACAACTGCCTGAATGCACTCTGGAGTTAGGGTGGGTTGCTGGGTTCCTGCACCACCAGACATAGGTGAATGATGTGCGACACTGCTCCTTTGCTACAGAGCCCCTGCAGCTGAATGCTGTTGATGGTCTCGCAGGAAGTAGACGCGGCATCGTGCCCCACCAGACGAAGCGAGCCTGTTGGTGATGGGATCTCCAGGAAACGCGCACGCCAATCGACTATCATAGGACTGTGCTCCTCGAGCCAGTCCATTCCCAGAATTGTGTCATAAGTTCCCAATGACAACACCTTCAGATCAGTGAAGAACTCATGTCCTTGTGAATACCACCCGCACTATGGAATAAAACTGGAACAAAGCATCTCGCCCCCGTCCGCCACTCTGACTCGACCTGGCTTGGGTAGGGGTTGCACCCCCAAGAGGAGGGATGCGAGCTGCGCGTCGACAAAAGAATTGGAACTGCCTGAATCAACCAGAAGAAGCACCTCACACCCTTGGTTCCATGCGCGGACCTGAAAGGCTTTGGCCGAGACTCCTCCTGTGACAGCAGACAGGGAGATTGCCATAACTGTATCGTCAGAGCCTTCGCCTTGCTGCACTTGGGAGTCGAGGACGTTGTCGAGGCCGATCATGTCGAGCAGCTCCTCGACGACATGTAGCTGCACGGACGTGGGGCACACGTGATCATGTCCCCATTTCTCGCTGCACTTGAAACAAAGACCGCGGGCTCGACGGTAGTCCCTCAGCGCCTTGATTTTGGTTGAATCAGCGCGTGCTGCTTCCGTCCCGCGCCGATTGGTGGTGACCACAGGTGGCGTGTGGCACGCCGGAGGCGGTGGCAGCGGCAAGGGTATAGCTGGCTGCAGGCCTGGTTCTGGTGGCCTTGATGTGTGCCCGCGAGCCCCTTCCGCCACTTCTTCTTATAGTTGTGCGAGCGCACACGCCGTGTCCAGATTGGGCGGTCGTTGCACCATGACAACTGCCCTGATGTCTTGCCTCAATCCCTCGACAAAACGGGTAAGGAAATAGTAACGATGTATGGATTCTGAATATGAATTCAAATGATTAATAATTGCTTCAAATCGTTCAATGTAATCTGCTACTGTGTTCGTTTGGCGAATGGAGTAAAACTGGCATATGAGTGTTTGGTGCCGATCACGGCCGAACCGAGTACATAGCAGTGCCGTGAACGAGTTCCAATCGAACTCGCCCAGGCGGCGCTGTATGGACTGCAGCCAGATCGCTGCTGGTCCTGAGAAGTTCAGTGCCGCCATAGGAACCCGGAAGGAAGAAGTAATCCTGAACATGGTGAAATACTGCTCACATAGAGTTTTCCACATGTTGGGATTTTCACCGGAAAACTGCGGGAACGTGATAGATGGGTGTGCCTGGCCTAAACCAGAGAGCATCTGGTTGGCGTGGGAAAACGGAGATGGCAGGGGTGGTGTAACGGGATCGGAGCTCGTACCATTAGCCGGGAGCGGCGGCGGCGTCAGGAGGGACGCCGCCGATGGCCCCCGTAGGATCTGAAAATCGCCGTGGCCATCGGGCCCTTGGGGTTTGACTGGTGCACCAGCGCCCTGGGGCACCTGATCTGCGTCGACTCGACCTTGGGGCGGCGCTTGCGCTTGCTGCAGCGCCGTGACGGTGTCGCCCAGATCCGCCACGCGGCGCTCGAGATCGGGACGCCAGGAGAGCAGATCGTCGATCTTCGTCGCCGTGGACTGCTGCGCCTTGGTGAGACCATCGATTGCGGCCTCAATCTTGGTCTCGAAGCGGGTGAGGAAGGCGGAAACGCTTGGATCCATGGCCTCTCGAGCTTGCCGCAAACCCCTTGTCCCGATGAGATGCGCCAGAGCAAAACGGAAGGAGTAGTGGCTGGTCTCTGATACCAGATGATAGGAACAAGGTGGTGGATCGATCTATTGGCTCTCTGAAGTAGTAGCGAACAATCAATTACAGACGCAATGCGCTCGAATGGAAGAACAGAGTTAGGGTTTGGGAAAGGGGAAAGGTAGCCGCCGTTTCGTCTGATCCTCTGGATGGCTGTAGCTGCCTCGCATTCACCCTCAAGTAATGATCGCCTGGGCTTTAGTGAACCCACTCGGGGCCGTGGACTCGCGGGTTGGGCCGCTTGAGCCTGTTGGGCCGCTGGGCAGCATCGTTGCTGGTGGAATGGCTGCCCAACGGGTCCTGCATGTCGGGGACGCTGACAGACACCCACTATTATCACCAAGTCAGCAAAATTATAAATCGGTGCATGGAAAGGCTTGCGAAAATGGCATGGCGAAGTGTAATTATTGTTGGTGCAACAAACTCCAGGTGTGTTTCCCTAACTGTACACAGGCACAAGAGCAAGGTTACAGCATCCAAGACGAGACCAGGTCAAGATGAAGGAGCAAGATACCACTAAGGAAAAACCTCCCTTGCCAGGCAGGCGAGCCTGGCGAGGTCGAGGTTGCCCCGAAGACAAGTCTCAAGATCGCCCCGACAAGCTTGCCGGGGATGCCAAGGGCGGCCTACCCCGCTAAGGCTCCAACTGCACCTCACAGCGACGCAAGTCATCGATCGGTGCAGTGTCAAGCCCACAAGTGACTAAGTGGCAGTTATTTGACACATGGCAACCACTTCCGAAGGAAATCACCTCCAAATGATACCCATACATAGACGTGTCAAGCAGACCGACGAGAAAGTGGCCGAACGGCCCGACAGGCCTTGCCGGGCACGCCACGATGTGACACTAAGCGGCGCATTTAATGCGCTCTGCTCTGTCTGCAGAGTTATGTATGATAGCACTGTTTGTTATCTAATCAGTACACAATGACTGATTTGCCATTGTGGTGACCCCTTGATCTATAAAAGGAGGGCCATGGCAACCTTAGAAAGGATTCGGGCCCTTGTACGCTCATACGCGCGTAGAGCGCTGCGTCTCCACCACGGTCCTCTCATCAATTCACCGAAGCAGGAGTAGAGTTTTACGCCTCGCGGCAGCCCGAACCTGGGCAATCTGCCTTGTCGTGCTGCCTCTGCACTCTTCGCTCTTTGTGCAATGTGCTCTTCCCCTTGCCGAACCATAAGGGGCCGATGGCCCTATAGGTGGCCGTGGTTTCCCACGACAATGATCAATCTCATCTCCTTATGGTAGATCACTCATTGTGAATACGTAAACAACAAGACCGCCATTAGCCATGGCCGCGAAGAAAAAAACGCCAACACGAACTGATACAAGCGCGCCGCCATTTAATTCTGCCGTTGCAACACACGGGCACATGTGTTAGTAAAATAAAATAGTGAAAAGTCGGACCGAGCGTGTACATGCATACCTTCGGGTCGCCGTCGCACCGAGCGAGTGTCGTGGTGCGTCGGCCGTAAAGCGACCCCGCCGCCGCCGCCAAGGCGAAGGCGAACACCGTTCCTATTCCCACGCGCCAGCCTCGACAAGTGTGTGGAGCAGAGCCAGTGAGTAGCGAGCAGCGCTGCTGCGCTGCTGCCGCCGCCGCAGCTAGGCAGATCTGACAGCCCGACGCCACGGCCAGGGTCCCCCTCCAAAGCCTGCCGCCGCCACTGTTCCCCCGCTGCCGAAGAGCCAGCTGCCGCGTGCGGAGAGAGAAGCCAGCGCGTGCGAGCGAGCGAGCTCAGCTGCTGCATCGGGGGCGAGAAGAAAAGGGCGGCGCCAACGATCAGGCAGGGGTGCAGCTGCGGTAGCTCGTAGGGGTAGCATCGTAAAAGACAGACGCGCCGGCTGGGCGTGGCAAATCTGCTTGCCGGAAAAGGCCGAGCCGCGAGCCGTTGTTGGCGTTGCCACTTTAGCCAGCTCCAGCCCTGACACGCGCACAGCGCAGCCGAAACGGCTGCTCCCCGTCCCGAGCGCAATAAAAGGGGGCCTCGCTGGCTGTCGCCGCAGCGTATGTACGGGGTTGGATGGAGTCGGCCGACGCAGCGGGAGGGGCGCCCGGGGGCGGGGCGCCGCCGGGCCGCGGCTCCTCGGCCAAGCGCATGCGCGGCGTGATTGGCAGCGGCGGCGGCGACGGCATGGAGTTGGTGCCGTGGGGGTCGCCCCCGCAGCCGGGCCAGCAGCCGCCGCAGCTCCAGGGGTCGGCGTCGCGGATCTGCCGCGTGAGGGCGTCGGGGGGCAAGGACCGGCACAGCAAGGTGTACACGTCCAAGGGCATCCGCGACCGCCGTGTGCGGCTCTCGGTGCCCACGGCCATCCAGTTCTACGACCTGCAGGACCGCCTCGGCTTCGACCAGCCCAGCAAGGCCGTCGAGTGGCTCATCAACGCCGCCTCCGCCGCCATCGACGAGCTCCCCTCCCTCGACCCGGCCGCCTTCGCCAACATGCCGGCCGACCACCAGGCCGCGCCCCGCGCCGGCAAGCAGCAGCAGCCGCAGGGCAGCAGGTCCCTGTGCAGCAGCACCTCGGAGACCAGCAAGGGGTCCGAGCTCTCGCTCTCGCGCTCCGACGGCCGCGTCGGCGGCGGCTCCTCCCTGGACAAGGAGGTCACCGTCGCCAGCAACCCCTCCGCGCAGGCCGGGTCCTTCACCGAGCTGCTCACCGGGGCGGGGGCGGCGTCGGCCATTGCCACCGCGGCTCCGCGCAGGCAGTCCTGGCAGCAACAGCAGCAGCAGCCCGTTTCCGCGGTCACCGCGGACCGCGTCGGCATCGCGCACCCCGGTAAAGGCAGCGGCGCGCAGGTGGTGCCGACGTACCCCGGCTTCAGATTCGGCAATGCGCCCCCGTTCGGCATGCAGCCGGCGCAGCCGTTCAACTTCGGCCCCTCCGCCCAGAACCAGATGACGCAGTTCTCGCTCGTCCAGGGCGGGCTGGCGGCGGCTCCGGCTCCGGCTCAAGCCGGAGACTACAGCCTCGACTTCTCGATGAACTCCGGTTACATGGGTGCCACCAGGGGGGCCCTTCAGTCCAATTCGCCGCACTTCTCCAGCCACCACCACCAGCAGCAGCAGCAGCGGCAGCTCCAGGACCTGGACGACGGTCCGAGCCCTCCCTTCCTGTACGCGAACGCCGCCGCCACCGCCCCGCACCTCGCGTCGGAGAACCACCTCACGGCGACCGCGGCGATGCAGCTGTGGAACGGGTTGCAGCACGCCGGCATGAAGGAGAAGAGCAAGAACTGATCACCCCGATTCTCCAGCGGTAAGACTGTCTCGCCCCCTTATTACCATTGATTGATTGGTTCAAGATTAGATTCGTTATATTGGCATGGCTGCAAACTTTTTGGCGCTGCTCGAGGTGTCCTCGTGTCCTTCAAAAGTCCCACAGAGCACAAATCATGCTTGGTTACGAAGGACGGGTGTCGAAATCTTAGCGGCAGGTGTCTGCATTTAGCTGAATTTGCATGGTTTGAGCCAAACAGGTGTCGATTGCTTCCCTTTGGGAGGGGATAGGAGACCGGCCAATCACATGGGCTGTGAATTGTGATTGCCCGGCATTTTGCATTGTCCCTGGTATAATACAGTAATAGTATGATCATCACAGTAATTCATTCTCAAGGCCACAGTTGCTAGTTTTGGGCACAACCTTTATAACAACATTTGTCAGCTTCATCTTAATGTAGTTACTGTTCATATTTATCTTTGCTACGCCACTGATATTTGTCGTCATACAACTATCACAACGGGCATCCTGATGTGCTTTAGCAAAACTGTTATTGAACACAACAGTCGACAGGTCCGACATATGCCATGTTTTTTCCATGCACTCGGCTGCAGTAACCTAGACAAATACCCGCTCAGCCTTATTGGTTTAACGTAGCTTGCTTCAGATGTCGGCAAAGTGGTTCCCGGTTGGTTGGTTGGGGATCTAAGTGACTAAGTCTACATGTGCAAAAAAGAAAAACATTTTAGATTAAAAAAATCATACTATCCATAAAACATAGTTTCAGATGTGCTTCACCACCACATAAGTCTGCTATTTTTCATTTTCTACCTTAGTTAGACACCCTGAATCATCTTCCTGCTTTCAATTTTCTATCCAATCAACACTAGGATGTGCATTCCATCAGTAGGTACAAAAGCAGTAGACAGGTGAATGTTTCTGTTCATTGTGCGCTTTCCGCATGCAAATTATACTGTCATTGTGCACTGCATTGACAGAGGTGTCAAGTAGTAGTATCAGACATCCAGATGCTACTGTGTCGGTCTCCAGCGTCTCTTTAGCGTTCAGGCAGCGCCCCTAAAGCCACCACATTTTCTGCTCCACCATGGTTTGGCAGGAACTGCTTTACTGTTGCCTGCATCTTCTTTATACATGCGTTGCCTCTTGAATTAAAAGCTGTCTTACCATTCTGGTACGAGCTCTAGCATCCCAATGATCCCCATTTCTGTCCACCTGCAGGAACCAAAGGCATCAGCATTTTTTTTTGGCTTCGGCAATAATTCATCTCGTGGAGCTGCCGGATCATCGTACGTCCATCACTCGTCCAAGTCTGCTTCGTCCGGCATGAACGAACCCTGCTGTCATTTATTCAGGCAACCATGTGCTGCTTTTTTTTCTCCTTTGAGATGAGGCTGGTGTACAAGTTTTGGGGGAGTTTTTTTTAGATAAAGACTGGCAAAGCAAGCGCCCTGCTGTGTGGGCTCGAATCTGTTGTTGTTGTTGTTGTTTTAGAAACTATATGTCTTTTTTTGTTTGAGATCATTTGGAACCAGTGTCGTTTAGGGTGGGTGGAGGATTCATGTGCCCCGCCTTTGCTGGGCCAGGCTACTCTCAGGTTTGTAGAAACAAGTCCCCCATAGACTTTTCTATTTTCCATTCCATAGCGTTGTTCTCTCCTCTGCCTCGCAGTTGGCTCACATGGGTAGGGCTGGATTAAAGAGCTGCTTGGAGTCTGTGCGAAAATCCGCGATCGGCTCTGTTCATTAAAAAGCGAGCTCCGAGCATGACGAGCTGAGCGATCGAGCGATTGGCTCCATTCATTAAGCCTACGAGCTTTTGGTCCATCCCTACACATGGGGTCGTGAAACAAATAACGTCGAGATTTTTTTTTTTGGAAAAGGAGTTGTTTATTACTCAAGTAATATCGTCGTTACAATCGCGGAAGATCGAATCCAGCACACAGGATGGAACTAATCTGTGCAACACCCCACCACACAACTCTCTACGACCTAACTGAGCTAAATTATGGGCAGTCATGTTTGTATCTCTGCTAACCTTGCACACCTTGGCAATTGTGCCATCCGGGATCTTGTGGAAAAACTCCTTTGCAATGTGACCCAGAGTAGACCAGCCATTTGTCTCTGGTTGGAATGCCTTAACAACAGAGCTACAATCTGTTTTGTTCAGCAAGCTACAATCTGTTTTTGTTCAGCATTGAGCTCGGTGAGTAGTTTAGACCCAGCTTGAGGACCTCAATGCAAGCAATAGCCTCCGCCATGTTTGCACTTGGGCATCGAGTAACATGCCCCCAGGCAGCTGCAAGTGTACATCCCCCCTTTGTGCTGAATGTTAATCCAGGAGCTTTGCTCGCAATGAACTCATCGTTAAGGACAAATCCATCATTTATCTTCTCACACCCAAAGCTTAGAAATTTGACCAGAAGAACGTTGGGTAGTCTTGAATAGAGTGTTTGGGGAGTTTCATTGGGGTTTATCAAAATAAAATTAATCTAATTATTGTCCATTTCATACTTTGATCTTTGAATGCTTGTGGTGCCTTCATTCACGAGACAAAGACGATCATGTAGTACATTGATGGACTTAATGAGAATCACTTAAGGATATATCTCCTGACAAACCCTTTGAAGTAACTGAAAAGTGGTGGCATTGAGTTGTTCATCAATCACTTCACATGGGGACAAATTTCTTGGAACCCTAAGGTTGAATCCTCGTTTTGTGAGAGCATTTCGGATATGTGATTCAACAGGAAACATCCAATGAACAAAATGTGTTCCGTCAAAGGTGAGTGGAGGACTGACATAGTGAATATGAGGTGTGGAGGGTGGTGGTGGTGTGTAAGAGGGGCACCAGATGAATCAAAGGTCATCCATGATTTCTCTGCCACTTGAGAAGTGGAGGGCCACATGAATAAAAACATATGAGGGCTTTGGTCGGTTTCTAATTATTTATTCTTCCATGGAAGCGTCTATTTTTACTTTGTAATCGACCATCATCTTCTTTATCTTTGGTCGTATAGGGCAATTGCAAGTCAATGTAGACATCACCAACATCCATCTTTGGCCATATCACTCTTAAGATCATAAAGCCCTTAAAAAGAGTCTTTGCTCTGATATCCATTGAAAGGATCAAGATGGAACTAGAGGGGGTGAATAGGCCTCTACAAATTTGAAGATTTTCATCACAAGTTTTAGGGGTATGGACAAATATGGTTCTTCTAAATGAAACTAAGTGAGGAGCAACCAATACAATGCTAATAAAGGGCAACAACAAGGAAACAAATATGAGTGACAAAGATCTTGGATAGGAATAACCAAATTATTCAAAGGCAAAGATGTATCTGGATATTCACTTCCTTGTGGGGAAACTAGTTACTTTGGGAGGTGCATCTACAAAGAAGATCTCTGAATGCCACAAAGACTAGCCTTCTTCTCCTTGAGCCTCTAGCAAGAAGTAGGATCTCAAATCAACAGTAGTTGGCCTTGAGGTGACCACCAAGCCTTCACAACTGACTTCTTGGAGCCTCCACACCTTCGAATCTTCTCGACCGAAATCCTACCGCTTTAAAGTCTCCAGAACTCTAACAGTCACTACTGCAAATCGGTATAGCACTGGCCGGCCAAATTATATCATCACAGACACGCGAGTGGCTGGTCAGTGTGTCAGGGTCAGTAATGATGTCACCATCATAGACGAGTCAGTTAACATGTCTGTGATAGTTGTCATCAGAATCCACAGGATCCATCGGTGCTCCATAGTAGAAGGGCCCTAATGAGAGTCTTATCATTGACCATCCTTGGTCTAGAGGCCGGCCAGTGATGTAAATTCTTGCTAGTAGAAAAATGTTGCATTGCTAGGAGAGGTCATCCAGTCGGACTACTACTAGCAGTGCAGCCCCAACTTCACAACCATACAAATCACGACATCACATACACATATTTCCAATAATCCATTTCACATATACAAAATATCTTACATTGCATTTCAAGCATGGGTTACACATACAAACAATCTCATATATTGCATAGGGTAGCCCTACATACAAACAATTCTATATCATTATTATTGCATTGACACATTTTAACTTACATGATTGTGTATTTTTGTTGGTCTCCGTGTTGTTGTTGTCGCACCATTCATTCCACCCTTCTCCTCGTACATAGATCTCCCATGTTCCATTTGAATATCCTGACTATTGAAGAAAACTCACATTAGGGGTTGATGCCTTCCCACCCACCCAGGTTCAAGGCATGGTACTTGCAATTTGGGTTTGTTGCACCAATTATACTGTAGGGGGTTCCCTTACAGTCTTTCTGTCAAAAAAAGAAAGAAAACTCACATTTCTTTCCAAGAGCTAGATATCAGCTTGAACATGGGTAAATGTTGCTCAAAAAACTAGAAAAAAACTTAGATATGTAGCAATACAAATTAACTAAAGCGAGCTAGTTCGTAATAACTAAACCATTGTCTTGCGGACACCATTTTGAATCATTAGCTGATGCGATTTTACCAGGTAATGTCGTGAAGACTCAAAAAAAATTGTACAATGCGATAGAAATCATGAAGCGTCACCAGCGTGACATTTCTGTCGCACTGTACAAAACACTCTTAAAAAAGACTGTTTTATACAGTACACAGAAAGGTCCCAATGGAAACGAGGTGAATTATGTTTCCATGTTTGTAAAAGGACAAACTATACTCAGCTAAGCAATAACGGAAGACAACAACAAGTACTTTATGAGCCTAGCAAAAACACCCACCTAGCATTCTAGATAACAAAATATAGCACCCTCTCCCTCACTTGGATTTTCCAAAAAATGATTGGTTGAGCAAAACAGAGTAGACCTTGTGGATTTCATCGATATTCTTCAATGGTCAAACCAACAATTTGATCCTTTTGTGTAGTGCGACCAAAATAATAATATTTTTCAAGAGTGTGTCCACTTCAGATGAGATTTCAACATACATCACAATGGCATAGCAACTGGAGTGTTTTGTGTGTA